TCTGCCACCCATAGGCCTGGTTACTATTTGCCTATAGTCTTGGAGTCCCCTGTACTGTGTTGTCTTTATCCTGACCCAGACTCTGTCGTCTCACTAAGCTAGGTAAAACCTTCTGGATTCCTAACATGATGTGCTTGGGTCATCTATCCAGCTTCTTCCTCCATTGGTGCTTTTGATCATACACCACGCTAGGAATGCCATGACACCAAGCCTATAGCCTCTCCTAGACTACGTTCCAGAAGTAGACTTCCAGCTTAGATTTTAGGGTGCCTGATACCTGTCAGAATGTTTTCATGCATCTCTCTCCATTTCTGCCCCCCCACCCGTTCCCAGGGGTCCACGCAAAAGGAAATGGGGAGGTCTCTGATCTCTGTTTTCTGATATCTTCATCTTCCCTCTGTGTCTTTCCTTCATGTAATCGACAGGACTTGAAAATGACTTTTTCCCCCCATGTTTCTGTCTAGAAGAAACTTTCCTTTTGTCTTTCTTCCCAAATTAACATGCACATCCACTCATTCAATAGCAGAGGATGCAGGGAGAGAAATGAATTTATCGGTAAGGGAAGATAAAGGTAGTTCAAAAATACTGTTTTCAGTTTTTGAAGAGGTAGACTTTTCCTCCCTCTGTTTTTGTTTTTAAAGTCATTCTGTTTTATTAAAGATTTATTTATTTATTTGAGAGAGAGCAAACGGGGGGGAAGGGCAGAGAGAGAGGGAGAGAGAGAATCTCAAGCAGATTCCCCACTCAGTGCAGAGCCCGACATGGGGCTTGATCTCAAGACCCTGAGATCATGATCTGAGCCAAAATCAGGTCGGATGCTTAACTGACTGAACCACCTGTTTTTGTTATTAAAAGTCAGATTTAGGGGCGCCTGAGTGGCTCAGTTGTTAAGCATCTGCCTTCGGCTTAGGTCATGATCCCAGGGTCCTGGGATCGAGCCCCACATCGGGCTCCCTGCTCCATGGGAAGCCTGCTTCTCCCACTCCCTCTGCTTGTGTTCCCTCTTTTGCTGTGTCTCTCTCTGTCAAATAAATAAATAAAATCTTTAAAAAAAAAAAAAAAGTCAGGTTTATTGAGGTATAATTAATAAAAAATTTACTCCTTAATTGTATGGTTTGAGTTTTGACAAATCTGTATAGTCATATAATCACCACCAAAATCGAGATTTAGAACATTTCCATCACCCCATAGAGTTCCCTCATGCCCTTTCCTAGTCAAGCATATCCTCATACCCATAGCCCCTAGGAACTGCTGACCTGATTTCTGCCTTTTCCAGAATGTTCTATAGATGGAATCATACTCATGTTCTATATATCCTTTTGCGTCAGCCTTCTTTCACTTAGCATAATGCTTTTGAGATGCTTATTGCTCATTTTCTGTTGTGTGGATATACCATAATTGTCCATTATAATTGGTTCATTGGACTTTTGGTGTTTTTCCAGTATCAGGTGAATGTAAACTTTATACATATATTCTGCTATCATAAACAAGCTTCTGTGAACATTCGTGAGCACTCTGTGAGAAAACATATCTCTTCACTTCTCTGGGGTTTTCTAAAGCAGGTCTACTATTCTGCATTCCTACCTGCTGTGTATAAAGGTTTCAATTGCTCCACATGTTTGTCAGCTTAGTATTATCACTCCTTTTCATTTTAGCCATTCCAGTGGGTGGGTAGTGCTATTTTGTTATAATTTTGTTTTTCTTAATGTGATGTGCTTGTCATCTATCTCTCTTCCTTGACGAAGTGTCTGGTCAAATCTTTTGCCCATTTTTAAAGAAATTCAGTTGGTTTTCTTATTGACTTATAAAAGAGAATTGTTTATAGATTTTGGATTCAAGTCCTTTATCAGATATATGTTTTGCAAATATTTTCTCCCAACCTGTGGCTCAGCTTTCCTTTTCTTAACAGTGTCTTTCTAGCAGAAATTTATAATTTTGATGAAGTCTAATTCATCTATTTTTTCTTGTAAGATTTGTATTATGTCCTAAGAAATCTCTGCCTGGACCAAAGTCATAAAGGTTTTCTTTTATGTTTTCTTCTAGAAGTTTTTTTAGTTTTAGGCATTTAATTTTCAGTTGATTTTTTTTTTTTTTTTTAATGTTGTGGGATAGAGGTCAGGATTTATTTGTTAGAATATGGATGTTTAATTGTTTTAGTGCTATTCACAAACTATGCTTTCCCCATTTAATGTCTTGGCACTTTTTTTTGAAAATCCATTAATCCTTTACATATGGGTCTCTGAACTCTCATTTTGTTCTATTAATGATTATGTCTGTTCTTACACCAGTATGTTGATTAGTGTAGCTTAATGGGAACTCTTACAGGCAAATGACATGAGTTCTCCAAATCTGTTAACTTTTCAAAATTATCTTTACTGTTCTGTATCCTTTGTTTTTCTATGTATTTTAGAATCTGCTACCCCCCCCCCCAAAATAAAAGCCTGCTGGGATATTGATTGGAATTACATTGAATATATAGATCACTTTGGGAGAGAGCTTATATCTTAATTATACTAAAACTCTTCTAATTCATGAACATGGTGTATATATATATATATATATATGTTTTTAGGTCTTTAATTTCTCATAAAATATTGCTTCTGATTTTTTACAAAAGTGAAACCCTCCTGTTCTCATTTGTTACTTATTTTTTAACAGCTTTATCGAGATATAACTCACGTACCCATACTATTTATTCATTTAAATTGTACAATTCAGTGGCTTGTAGTATATTCCCAGAGCTGTGCAGCTATCACCACAGTCACTTTTAGAACATTGTCATCATGCCAGTAAGAAAGCCCATACCCCGTAGCTGTCACCCTTCAATCCTTCCATCCGTCTCCACACCCCCAGCCCAAGGCAACCTCTAATCTGTTTTCTCTCTGTATGGATTTTTCTCTTCGGAACATTTCATTATAAACGGAACTATGTAGTGTGTGGTCCTCTGTGACTGGCTTTTTAGTTAGCATGTTTTCAAGCTTCATCCATGTAAGTAGCATGTATCGGCATTTCATTCCTTTTTATTACCAACTGATAATCTGTTATATGGATATGTCACATTTTGTTTCAACATTCATAAAAATAGTTTTCTTTAGGCTGTGGTAAATTGGTTTCTCCTCTACAGGATTTGAATAAATTCATTTTTTTTCTCAATTCCCCCTCATAAGCCCTAAAGATGAACATTACAGTTTCATTCTGTTGCCCCTGTCGATTTAAAATTAATATCAAATACAGATTTTAAGTGCTTATCATTAAAAATCTTTCCTTACGGCCTTTAACTTTCTTTTTAAAAAGATAAAACTTTTATCATTGAACATTGACCTTTTTTAACCTTTTAAATTTAGAAGCCACGTCAAAGCAAATCTTTTTCTCAGTTTTAAAGGGTATTTTTAGCACTTAATATTTGTAAAACTCTTATCTTTTGGGAGCTTCTTTTGGAAATCTTTCATTACATAAAGAGATAATTTGGGGAGAAATCTTTCATTACATAAGGAGATACTTAATTTGCTAAATAGATAATTTTAAAATGTATTATTGATGCTTCACAGATCTTTATCATCTAGTGTTTTAATAGTAAATAATTTATGAGATGGTATGATTATCTGACCTTATTTTTAAAACTCATTTAAAGATGGTGGAACCATTAGGAACAGGAGAAGGGAGAAAATATTTAGGACCTACCGTGACAGGAATATTGGTAGAAACTTTTATATGTTAACTTCTTTAATCTTACAGCACCCTTTCAGGTAGATATTTTTATTATATTTTAGTTTGGCCACTAAGGTTCAGAGAGGTTAAATGCTCCAGTTTAGTAAGCAGCTCTAACTGAGTAAGACAGCAATGTCAGGTGAGACCCAAGCCATTGTTCCTTCTTCCTACTTCCTGAACTGTGCTCTATGGACGTAGAGACTACTGAACCCGGAAACAAAAGCGAGTGCATCATGTCCGTCCCACTGGTATTTCATTACGTAGCCAGTAGCATATCTTAGCTTCTAGACTGTATGACCACACCATTATGGAAATATATATACATAAAGTCTGTATAGATATAGATGGACACACTTATTCTTCTAAATGGTAACATCTATGTTTCTTTTAGTAAGTATTGTTTAAGAGAATTAAGAGAGAGTAAAGGAATCGTTAGGGATCATGTGTCTTGATTCTGCTACCGGTTTATTTTGAACCTTGAACAAACTCAGATATCCCTTTGTTAGGTTGTTTACTGTAGAGTTAAAATAATACTGTTATTTTTTTCTTAGTTCTTGTATATAAGAGTTGGGGAATCAGTAGGTGAAAAGGAAGCAATAACTAACAGTGCTTTTTATTTTAATTTAGCTTTGCTTTTTTCTTTTCAGTTTTATTTATTTGGAAATTAGAATTCTTCTCTTAAAAGTATCTGTTTTAGAAGGTTATGGGTTTTTTTTTTTTTGCATCTTCATAGATGATGACTTGATGAAATTAGTCATTTATGATCGACAAAAATGTGACAGAACTTTTGCAGAGTTCAAATGGACTTTTAATATTCAGCACCAAAGAATTTTGCCTAATTAAAGCTTCTGTTTAATTAAGATAACAGTGCATAGTCCTTCATTAAAATTAACACAGAAAAAGTTCTTTCTTGGTCCTTGGAGAGGATATTATATGCAAGCCCTGATGTGTGGGTTGCAAAATGTCACTGGAATTTATATGCATTACTTGTCTAATTGCAGTAAATGTAGCATGTCCAGATAGGTTTAGAGTTAGAAGGCTGTTTGTTACTTACTGGAAATCACTTGAAACCTCAGTACCCAGAGGCAGCTGTGCCCAGGTCCTTCACCTCTCCCCAGAGATGGCTAAGAAGACTCTTGTTGGACCCTGTCTTTCATGGTGGGAGCAGTAAACATGACAGGTTGTTTGGGAGCCATCTGTTTAAAATGGCTACTGCTTTGTATGCAGCAGTGAACTTGAGATCAGTTTTCTGTCTTTCTTCATGGTAATAGTCTTATTTGGTGTCACAACAGGTGGAAGTTGATGGGTCGAAACTAAATGTGACCAGCACGTGGAACCTGGCTTCACCCTTACTGGCTGTCAACGTTGATGGCACTCAGAGGACGATACAGGTAAATGTTCTGATGATGTACTTTGAGGGGCCCTGCAAGTCCCGAATCCGTACCAGCGCCTGCGTGGATAATACTGGCAGGTGGAGTAGGGAGAAGCTGCGGTCTATTCATCTCCTACATTTATGGTTGAAAACATTTTTCCTTACTTTGGAGGATCTTGAGGCAAGTCTTAATCTGAGGAATCAATATTTTCTTTTCTTCCAGGCAATCCAGGAAGGATAGGAAAAGGATTACTATCCTTTTCGTAAATGAAGCATCCTGTGCGCTTTTCTAAAAATATTAGAAGATAGCAGTTTTTGTTGCCACTGTGGGTTTTTAGTTATAAAATATGACTTTGTTACCTTCCTTTTCTGTGTAATTGAGATTGTGTAGTAGCATCGATCAGCAGAAATGTGAGCTGTATTCAGCTTGACTTGCCAGAACACATTGATGCCTTTTAAAAATTGAGTGATCTTAATTTATTAACCTTTATTTTCCCTCCAAAGTAAGATTTCTTGCATTGAGGAAATGACTTGAAATCCAGAGTTGATTGGATGTTCTTTGTCACCAGTGACTTCCATTTTAAAGTAGACAGCTATGAAAAGAGATTCTTCCAAAGTTCCTTCAGCTCACCTCATAGTTGAAGTTTAGGGTTCCAGGGAAAACAAAACAAAACAAAGAACACTGTGTAACATGTGATCACATGCAAATAAAAATTATAACCACCCCCCATAGTATTAAATGCTCATTCTTTCTGTTGTTGTTTTGGTTTGGTTTTTTTTACGAAATATTTTTGTGTTGCCTTAACTTGATTTTGCACAGGAAACTGAATTTTGCACAGGAAACTGATTTTTAAAACATAGAGAAATCAAGAGAATCACAGATAAAAACTTCTGTGTATACCAGATTCACATATACCTCTATTAGAGACAGAGGTATTCCAGAAACCTCCAGTAAATATTTGATGACTAAACTAATTTCTAAGCCAGGCTCAATTGATGTATTATCTTTATGGTTCTAAAAAATATCGAATTCTCAGGAACGAGCTGTATATTTTGAATTTGGTTTTGTAACTTGCCCCAGTGTATTTTTTTTCCTCTCATATTTTCTTTCATATTCTAATTATGAGGTAAAATACTTTGAGACCCTTGGAAAAAATATCACTGCATAATTTCACATGATTTAGATCCATTTACTGTGTCTTCAAAAAACATGGGTTTGTTACACTAGCTTATGTTCAGTCGAATGTGCTCTGCACTGAACATGCTGTGGCCAGGCATGCATGTTCTGGTCAGGGGACACAGTATGATCTCCTAGTAGTGAGCAGAGAAATAGAAAGGCCTACTCTCCAAATTGATGTATCATGATATTTTCAGCTTCCTTCTCAGTGACTGCAGATGGATAACTTGATGGCACTTTTATATGAAGAGTTTCTAGCTACGTTAATACTGGATATGTATTTAGAATAATTCCCAGAAATATTTTCCCTATCATAGGGATACTGTTCAGTAAGTCCCTTTTCATTCTTTGTAAGTTCTTTGCTTTAAAAAATAGGCATTAATCTGAAAGCAGGGACCCCCTCAAGGCAGACACCCCCCTCCCCGACTCTTTGGAGGAGGTCATTGCTTCCAGGTAAGTACTATTCCAATGGAAGGAAATAAACTCAGAGAGGTATAAATGGTATACTGGATAAAAACCAAACAAACTCATTTACCTTAAAAAAAAAAAAAAAGAGGGAGGAAACTTTTCTAAAGAAAGTTTTTCCTTACCAGAATAGATGAATTTTAGTCACTTGCTATGGACATTAGCATTTATTCACTTGTTATGAACATTAGTTGACTTTTTTAATCTCCAAAATAAAATGTGGTCCCCATGAAATTAATAACATAGTGAGAATAAATAATACACAGTACTTACCATGTATCAGGTACAGTTCTGAGCACAGTGCATATATATGTTCATTTCATCTTCACAGCAACTGTATGAAGTAGGTACTATTATTTGCACTTTGGTAAATGAGGCCCCTGAGGCTCAGAGAAAGTAAGTGACTCGCTCAAGGTCACATGGCTGATAGCAGGTAGAGCCGGGATTTAACTCCAAGCAGCTTGCTGTGGGACTTCTGCTGTTAAGTGTCTTGCTCTGCTGAGGCAATCTGAGCAACTGTTCTGTGATTACAAAGCTAGGAGGAAGCTGAGCAGACATTTGAACCCTGGCACGGTGACCCCAGAGTGTGTGCTTCTAATCACTGGGCTATACAGTACTTTTTTGTTTTCTCCATGAGAGTTCTTCAAATAATAATATACCTTTCATTCATGCTTTAAACCAATGATGCTTGAACTTTGGTGTGCTTCAGAATTACCCAGAAGGCTTGTTAAAACTCAGATGGCTGGATCCACCTCCAGAGTTTACTCCAGTTTAGTTGGTCTGGGCTAGGTGTGCATTTCCATAAGTTCCCAGGTATTGCTGATGTTGCTAGTCCAGGGGAAGCAGTCTGAGAACCACTGCTTTAAACCTTTGCAATCAGAGAATAAGCTGGGTATGAAGAGCAAAAGTGAAGTAAGTAGGAACCAAGTCATTTGAAGCCTTGCTAATTACATAGTGTGGCCTCTGCTTTATCCTTGGCCAGTGGGATCCATGGACTAGTGTTCACAAAGGAAGTGATGGTGTGGAGAGGACTGGAGTTTAGGAAGAGCTTGGTTCGAGTTGCATTGTGGAGAGAGGATGGAAGGAAAATGAGATTGGATGCAGAGAGAGAAGTTAGGTCATGTTTCAGAAACAGAGGAGGGAAATCATCTTCTCTCAGAATGTTTTCCGTCAGGACAAGAGCATTGTGTGGTGAAGGGATTTGGAAAGACAGGAGAATGAATGGTGGCTTCACAGTGTTCTTTGTGGATTTCTCATCCACCTGCTGTAAGCCTGGGCAGATCTTCAGGGTTTGTGCCCAGCACCCTTCTCTCTGTACTGACTTCCTGGGCTGAGTTTCCCAAGACTTTGAGCTCAGTACCTTCAAACAAATAGCTGTGAAAATTCTGCTGTGTGTTTCAAAGAAGAACTATGGAGTGGATATGACCACAAGTGTTTTTCAAGTGATTTTACAGTAATAATGGCTGGGTTTTTCCCCCCTGGATTTTTGTGCCTACTTTTAAACTTTTTATTATTAAATATTTTATATACACAAATCTGTATTAATCTATACAAAAGCTAAAGAACACAACAAAAACCCGATTACTTACCATCTAGATTAAAAAAGGAAACATTACCAATACTACTGCCTTTCCTCTGTGCTCGCTTTAATTAAATCCTTCCTCCTGCCCCCTAGAGATAACTACCATCCCAATTTTGAAATTGCATTTTTAAATGCATTTTATTTTATATTATTTTGTTTTATTTTAAGATTTTATTTATTTATTTGACAGAG